CCTGGGCACAGGCTGCCCAGAGAAACTCTGGCTGTCCCATCCCTGGAAGTGTTCAAGACCAGGTTGGATGAGTCTTGGAGCAACCTGGGCTAGTGGAAGGTGTCCCTGATGGTACAACCCATCCCAGAAGATGAGAGTAACCCAGGCTTTTGTTAATATATCACTTTGGAGCGCATTAGCATGAAACAACACTGTGGTTTTTAAAATGTGAACATGGATTTCTCTGATGTTTGCTGATATCCACAAAGAATGAAAACCCACATTTTGAGTGAAGCTACATTGGGCAAAGTTATCAGGATTACACTGGAGACTTCATAGGAGAAAAGTGTCTGCCTGACCAGTTTAGAAAATTCAGGGTAGTTTTGGAAACAATATAGACAATGACCAACTGACTATAAGATTGCTATTTATGGTGCCCGGGGAATGTTGGTTTTCACATGAATTTCATTACAAAAGTTGGAAGTATATCTCATTTTAGGTTTAAATGTCCTCTAAACTATGTTCCAAAGTGAATTGAAGGATTGAAGAAATTTAACTTGAAGTAAGATCTTGCAAAGAAGACACAAGAATTAAAAGAATGATCAAAGATTAAGTGGGAATAGGAAGGAAGGTATAATAAATTCTTATTGTTTGGCCAGAACATTTGAGATAATATATATTTTATTCCTAAAGCAACAGTTATAAGGGATAATTACATTCTGTTTCAGAGAATAAATTATTTTCTCAGTTAAGGAAGTATTAGATGAAATTTTCTGATGAGAAAAAAGCAGGATGTCCAATTGGACCACTTTAAAAGTGGCTGAAATACTTTGAAATAACTGAAGCAAGATTTTTAATTGAATAAATAAGCTTAAAATAAGCAAGGTAAAATGTAAACCTTAGAAGAAATCAGAGTAATGATTAAAATGCAGCACTCAACTCCTCATTATTTACATGGCATAAGCTCTAAAGTTTTTATTATTTAGGCATTGCTCATCTACAGATTAATGAAGGACAAAGCAGTGACTACAAATTAAAGTGATAGAATGTCACATTCTGTGCAATTCTCTCACTTTACAGCACTGGAGGCATTTACTCTTCACTTTCTGCCTTCTTGCTGATTTCCCGGCTCTTGGCTCGGAGCTTGTTGACCTGTGACTCTGCAATGTCAGCCCGCTCCTCGGCTTCCTCCAGCTCGTGCTGGATCTTGCGGAACTTGGAGAGGTTGACATTGGACAGCTCCTCCTGGAGATAGGAGGAAGCATAAAACAGGTTTTAAAACAGTTCCACTGTAAAACCACTAGGTGAAAATATGAAATAAAGGAAGTGAAACGAAGCAGAGACCTACAACCACAATGTTGAGACCTACTACCACAATGTTGACCTGGGTTCAAACAGAGCTACACAGGGGAAAACATCAACACAGAATCCCACTTCCACCTGGATAAAGACTGACTGAACACAGTGATACTTACAGCCTCCTCAGCTTGTCTCTTGTAAGCTTTCACCTTAGTTTGCAGCTTGTCCACCAGATCCTGCAGCCTAAGAACATTTTTCCTGTCTTCCTCTGACTAAAGAGAATGAAAAGACAGAGAAGCATCTCTTTTACCCTCCTCTACATGAAATGGAGAGTAAAATTTATATTTGATATTCCTGCCCCGTAAGACAGAAGTGATAAGTGATATTGTTAAAATGACAACAAAGATAGTAACCTTCTGGTGCTTTCATTATTCTCCTTTTTCTATGTGCGATTCAGAACAGAGAGAAATCTGTCAGGGCTACATTTTGGGTTCCAGGAATAAGAGTGTATCAACATGAAGGAGATTCCTGCCTTACCTGGTAGGTGAGTTCCTTCACCCTCCGCTCGTACTTGCGCACGCCCTTCACGGCTTCAGCGCTGCGCTTCTGCTCAGCATCAACCTCCCCTTCCAGCTCCCGCACCTGCAAGGACAAGCCCATCCCTGCAGCTTCCCTGGCAATGTCTCTCCAAGGACACGCTCACTCAGGCACAGCCCCAGCCCTACACACCCTGGCCTCCAGCTTCTGGATCTGCTTCTTCCCTCCCTTCAGTGCCAGCTGCTCAGCCTCTTCCAGACGGTGCTGCAGGTCCTTCACCGTCTGGTCCAGGTTCTTCTTCATCCTCTCCAGGTGGGCACTAGTGTCCTGCTCCTTCTTCAGCTCTTCTGCCATCATGGCCGCCTGATCAGAGCAAAGGGTCAAAGGCATTTTGGGGCTGGAGATATTTTGGGGAGAGTACATTCATTGTCAGCAATGCCAGGAGTGTCCAACTCACATCAGTGATGGCCTTCTTGGCCTTCTCCTCAGCATTGCGGGCTTCCTGGATGGTATCCTCCATTTCACCCTGGATCTGGGCAATGTNCCCTGGCCTCCAGCTTCTGGATCTGCTTCTTCCCTCCCTTCAGTGCCAGCTGCTCAGCCTCATCCAGACGGTGCTGCAGGTCCTTCACCGTCTGGTCCAGGTTCTTCTTCATCCTCTCCAGGTGGGCACTGGTGTCCTGCTCCTTCTTCAGCTCTTCTGCCATCATGGCCGCCTGATCAGAGCAAAAGGTCAAAGCCATTTTAGGAATGGAGATATTTTGGGGAGAGTACATTCATCCTCAGCAATGCCAGGAGTGCCCAACTCACATCAGTGATGGCCTTCTTGGCCTTCTCCTCAGCATTGCGGGCTTCCTGGATGGTATCCTCCATTTCACCCTGGATCTGGGCAATGTCCGTTTCCAGCTTCTTCTTGGTGTTGATCAAGCTGGTGTTCTGTTGAGCAGCAGCAGAGGTTTGTTTTTGTAAGTTAATTATTTGAAATCAAGAACATTACAGGATTTTAAATAATTTAAGACATAATTATGTGGAAAAGCAATACCAGACATTTTCTAGTAAAATTTCTTTTCACTAGGGAAAAAGCATTTTGATTTTTTCTTTCTCCATTTTTCATTAATTTGAAAAAGTGCTCAGGAATATAATCTGTGCCACATCTCATCCACCAAGGATGGCACAGGAAATTAACAAAATTAGAGTAAGGGAAAAATTAAGAGTGCACACTTTTTTTTTCAGCAAAGATCTCTTTTAGTAACATGATAAATAATCCAGAAAAGAGGACTGTCTTCCTCCAAGTTGAGCATCCAATGGTGATTGGAATAAAGCATAAAAGTGTTTACCAGATGACCTCACCTGGCTGTGGAGGAGCTGAACTCTCTCACTTGCATCCAGGAGCTCCTGCTCAGCCACTTTTCTTGACCGCTCCGTCTGCTCCAGGGCTGCCCGGAGCTCCTCAACTTCAGCCTGCAGCAGGTTTGCTCTGCGCTCCACCATGGCCACCTGCTCCTTCAGGTCTTCTTGTGACCTGAGAGCATCATCCAAGTGTATCTGGGTGTCCTGTAGACCCATTGAACGAAATTATAAGCAGATTTAGAGCTCCTGTGGACTGAAAGTATTTATCAAGATATTTCTCTACAGGCAATTTCTGTTTAACAGACCTTGAGCACTCCCTGTGTATTTCTCAGGTTCTTCTGTGCCTCTGCAGCCTGGCGGTTGGCATGGCTCAGTTGGATTTCTATTTCATTCAAGTCGCCCTCCATCTTCTTCTTCAGCCTCAGGGCTTCATTCCTGCTCCTGATCTCAGCATCCAGGGTGCTCTGCATGGAGTCCACGACTCGCAGGTGGTTTCTCTTCATCTGGTCAATCTCCTCATCTTTCTCTGCTATCTTCCTGTCAATCTCAGACTTCACTTGGTTGAGCTCCAGCTGCAGGCGCAGGATCTTCCCTTCCTCATGTTCCAGGGAGGCCTGGGAAATAAAAAATAAGAATACTTTTCAGGTGACAAATGTTGAACCTGAAGCTCTGAGTAAAAAAGAGTACTATGTTTAGATAATAAGTCCACTTTTGTAAGACCTCTTTTCCACATTTCTCTCAGAATGAGATAAGCAAGATAGAGATCCAAGACACAAAAGACAGGAAGAAATAATGCTGTGTACCTCAGCTTCCTCCAGGGAGGCTTGCAGTTCAGATTTCTCCTGCTCAACCTGCTTCTTGACTTTCTCCAGCTCATGAATTGCCTTTCCTCCCTCCGCAATCTGCTCCGTGAGGTCGGAAATCTCCTCTGTGGGAACAAAGATCAATGGCATGGTCAGGCACAGAGAAGAATGGGAAGGACCCTGTCCCACCAAGGTGACAGACAACTCTGCAGACCTGCAAGCACAGACCCATGGCCAATGGAGGTGATGGCTGATAGTGAGAAAGGCCAGGGAGGAGCAGAGGGACTTACGCTGCAAGTTCTTGTTCTCCCGCTTCATTGTTTCCAGGTGGTCCAAGGACTCCTCATAGGCATTCTTCATCTTGAACAGCTCCGTGCTGAGAGAGCGCGACTCCTTCTGCGAGGCCTCCAGCTCAGCCTGCGTTTCCTCATACTTCTGCTTCCATTCTGCCAGGATCTGAAGAGAAACAGGGTGTGAGTAGGGCTGTGGCCATCACAGGGCCATGCTCTGGCCAGGAATGCTGGTGCTGGAAGCCAAAAGACCTTGTCAAAGTTCTTCTGCTTCTTATCCAGAGCAGCACAGGCAGCATTGGATCTCTCCACATCAATCATCAGGTCTTCCACTTCATTCTGCAGCCTCTGCTTTGTCTTTTCCAGGGAGGCACATTTGGCATTGACAGCCTCAACATGTTCCTCTGCATCCTGCAGGCGCTGGGCCAGTTTCTTCCTGAGAGGAGAGCAACACATTGCCGTGTTTGAACTTGGATGGGTGTCAGTTCTTTACTGTCATGAGTTTGTCACTTTGGAAGTTTTGATCCAAATGCTTTCCACAATATTTTTTATTGCCCATGAGTGCATGCAGCAAACAAGATCTATCACTCCTGTGTCTTTTCACTTAAGGAGGATTAGACCTGTCTTAGTACTTCTAGTCCTAAAGCCTGTTTTCCATTCCAATCTGTTTTTCTCTCCCTCCCTCTCTTCCATTTTTTCCAAATACACTATATCCTTGCCTTTGTGCCACCCTTGTCTTAACCCACTCTGAGAGATTCCAATTTCCCTTGACCAGTTTCGGTCTGCTCCAGTCATTTGCCATCCTGCTTCCCCACGTACTTGGCCTCCTCGAGCTCCTCCGTGCGCTGAATCGCGTCCGTCTCGTATTTGGTTCTCCACTGGGCCACTTCGCTGTTGGCCTTGGACAGGGCTCGCTGCAGCTCCCCCTTGGCCTCCTGCTCCTCCTCATATTGTTCCCGGAGCAAGTCACAGTCGTGGCGAGAGGACTGCAGGGCGTGGGCCAGGGCGTTCTTGGCCTGGGGGAAGAATAGCAGTGTGACAATGAATGAAAATATCCTGGGAGTTCTCCTGACAGAAATGCTGATGGGCACTGATTCTGCTGTGAGTAAATGGCAAGCTACTGAATGAAAATGGGAAGTCTGGGAATCTGCAAAAGAATTAACATGCAGGGAAAGAGGAACAAAACTAGTATGGCAAGGCTTACACTATATTACTTAAGTGGATTTTTCCTCCCTTTCATCTTGTTGATTCTGTACTTCCATTTGTATCTAAAGCTTCTTCTATACAGAAGGAATCCAATGGACAATTCAGAATTTGGGGAGCCTTCTTACCTTTATCTCTTCCTCTAGATGCCTTTTGAGTTCCTCAATCTGTTGGGTAAAAGCCTGTTTTCCTCTTGACAGCTGAGAAATCAGAGCATCTTTCTCATCTACCTGGCGTGAAAATTCACCTGGGAGTGTTCAGATGAGTAAAAAAAAACTTGTTATCACTTACATAAAAGTATTAATCTTGATAATAAATGCCCATATACAAATACTTTGACTTAAACTTTTACTTCTTTCCTGGATTCCTAATCACTGATACCCACATTTCTTAGAGGCAAGAAATGGTGTATCATGTAAAATCCCACCAGACTTACTCTGCATTAAGCCTTGAGTTTACAGAATGAGTACTACAGTGCCATCCAGAGGGATTATGACCCATGGGAATCTCAGGAGGTTTAACAAGGCCAAGCAATCCAGACAAGGCCTCATGTGATGAGTAGGGGGAACAATCACTCTCTGCTAACCCATTGGCAATGCTTCTCCTAATGCAACTCAGGATTCTCTCAGCATTCTGTTGGCCAACTTCATCACAAAACACTCTTTGGCTCAGTTTCAACTTAGTTCATATTCAATCCTTCAAGACTCCAGGTGAGTTTTACTTATTTTTAAAGGACACAGGCAATATACAGTATTCTATTAAAAACATAAATATCTTACCAGATTCTGTTTGTAGCCGAGCTCTTTGAACACTAAGGTCATTAATTATGCGCTGTTGTTCCTCCTCCTTTGTCTTAATTTCACTGAGCTGATCTTCTAGTGAACGACACATCTTCTCCAGATTTGCCTGTTTACATGAGGAATGGAAGGAAAGATATTTAATGGTTCACCTTATAATTTGTGAGAATATGAAGTCTTATAAAGTAAGTAAGAATTATTCAGAAGCCAAAATTTCTCAGTTAACTGATATATATTTCCATGAAGTTTGTGTCCTCAGTTCCAACTGTATATTCCCTGCCCAGGGTAGGGTGGATGAAATGATATAATCAAATTGTTTGAATAATACTGAAATGCTTAAACACACATTGAGGTTGGAAAATGCAATAATTTATTCTAAACAATGACTAACTAAAATTTCTATGTTAAAATATAAATATCTGATTATGTTTGAATTGATGAGGAGAAATATCTATGTACCTTGGCTTTGGAGACGGACTCCATGTTGCTGGCCAAGTCGTCAATCTCCATCTTCAGCTCACTCTTCTCCTTCTCCAGCTTCTGCTTCACGCGTTGCAGGTTGTCGATCTGCTCGCCCAGCTCAGCTGTGCT